ACCAGACTTAAGCATAAGAGTATTTGTCTGAGCATAGAGCGTCCTACACTGTCTGTACATATCAGCATCATCATCTGTCACGTCCGCGGTGATGATGTGTCTGTTTGTTGTAACAGACAACACTGTTGACTAAAACATATCCTAAACCTTTGATTCATGAAGGTGTGCATCTTTGGCAGACATAACAGCTGAACACACTCGTGGCTCATTCTTTTTACAATAGAAATAAAATATTCTTCAGAAAGTTCTTCCCACGGCCCTTTCCACACTAGTATGTATTCGAGTCGTTTTCATTGCAGATGCAGTGTTCGTCCGCACTAATCCGATTGAAAACGGCTCCAGAGACAGAACGATCTGGTGCCGTCAGCTCCCATGAATTTATTTGAGTACAGAAAATGCAAAAGGCTAGAATATATGTCCATTCATAAGTATGGTCTATGCGTACAAGCTGCAGACGTATAATCTCAGAAAATTTTAACATGAACCATCTCCAACTTTAAGTTTTGTTTCTGTAAAACGTAAACAAGGGAAGGCTTGCAGACACAGAAACGACGTGTGTGGACGCAGATCATTTCCGATAAGGTGATACGGTGATTTGTTTCAGTGTAAACGTAGTCCAAATCTGTTGCAGAAGTTCCCATAAATGTGTGGCACTCGTAGGTTGTTTGACTTTCACTCTTCTGTCCAGTTCATCCCAAACCAGCTCGATGGGGTTTAAGTCTGGAGACTGTGCTGGACACTCCATGTTTTCAAGCTTAACATCTCGTTTTTTTGTTTTCCTGGGGTAGTTTTGTCAGAGTTTGGACTTGTGTTTTGTTATCTTTTAAGTTCAGTATTTACCTTTGTACCATTTCAAGCTCTTCATTGGACTTGCGCTACTTGAATTGCAATAAATAACAGGAAAAATTTGGGTGTTCTAAAGTTTATGTCTATATAAATTTAGGAGTTAAGGGGTTAAAGGTGCACTGTGTAACTTTTCTGGCGGAGGGCCCGTCAAATGCTTTTCCCCGTGGAGATAGCTCACAGTCAGAATGTCTCTTTTTCTCGGTATTTTTGAGCTCTAAAACCACCTGCGCTTGAATTAATCGTAAGGTAGAGCTGTTTAATGTCACACTGTGGAACATAAGAGGCTGAAACTGACCAGAAATTATGACGAAGGTATTTTCACGTGAAGGAAGCCACTCCTGATAGCAGCCTGGCCCTGAACTTCCTGTTGTGGGCGGATGGTTTCAGAGTCTCCGGGCAGGACAGAGGACAAAGGGGACTGTCTCATTCACTGTGGGAGGACAGAGGGGACACAGTAAGATAACAAGGGGATTTTCATTGTAATTTAATTTCGTTTACAGTGAGAGAAAGCTGTTATTTGTAAGACGTATGTGCAGATTTTCAGAATTCTAAACTGGGACATACCTGGATTGGGATGGATGATATTAAAAAAAAAAAGAAAAAATGTGAAAAGAGCACGTAAAATTGTCCATTCTTGACTCACTTGTGGGTCGATATATAAAGGTCGGTGCATAGATTTTCATTTTTAAGCTCGGTTTTCTGTTTTTTAGCTAAAAAAAATACAAAAAAAGACAATATTCGCTTCTTTACTGTTGTCAGGTATCAAATTTAAACAATGAAAAATAAAAAAAAATAGGGACACCACATGGGCTTGGGTAGATCTGCTGGGACAGGGGGCACACTGCAAAAAAGATTTTTGGCCAAGATATATAGTTTTGGTACATTATACATGTTTTTTTAAATAGGAAATTAACAGTAAGTGAAGTTTTGACATTATTTAACCACATTATTTGAAGTTTTGGCTATAATTGACCATATTATTAGAAGCTTTGGCAATATTTGACCACATTATTTGAAGTTTTGGCTATATCTGACCACATTATTTGAAGTTTTGACTATATTTGACCACATTATTTGAGGTTTTGACTATATTTGACCACATTATTTGAAGTTTTGACATTATTTGACCACATTATTTGAAGTTTTGACTATATTTGGCCACATTATTTGAAGTTTTGACATTATTTGGCCACATTATTTGAAATTTTGACATTATTTGACCACATTATTAGAAGCTTTGGCTATATTTGATCACATTATTTGAAGTTTTGACATTATTTGACCACATTATTTGAAATTTTGACATATTTGACCACATTATTTTTTGGCTGTATTAAGTTATAAACATGGAGAGTCCAGCACAGTCTCCAGACTTAAACCCCATCGAGCTGATTTGGGATGAACTGGACAGAAGAGTGAAAGTCAAACAACCTACAAGTGCCACACATTTATGGGAACTTCTGCAACAAACTTGGGAAGAACTTTCTGAAGAATAAGAATATCCAAAACCAGAACTAACCCAGGTCTTAAACTAGGTCTCAACCAGAATTAGACCAGAACAAAAGCAGGTCTTTTACAAGTTTATCAAAGGTGAATTGACCCAGATCAACAAGTGACAGACTAGGCATTATTACATTTTGGACTAAATTAAACCAGGACTAACCCAGATCTTAAACTAGGTCTTAACCAGAACTGGACCAGGACTAAACCAGGTATATTGCAAGTTTTTTTTGCTTTTTTTTTTTAAATACAATTTGAACTTTAACCCACAGACTAGGCATACTAAATCTGTATTAAAAGGGCTAAACCACGACTAAAACCAATTTAAAAACCAGATCTCAACCAGGACTAAACTATGTCTAAACCAGGATTAACCCAGGTCTCAAACTAGGTCTTAAATAGGACACGGACTAAACTAGGCCTGCTTACAACTTTAGTCAAATTTGGACTTGCTTAACAGATTAGAAAATAAATATGGCTCTAAATCAAGAGTTTAGAATATGTTTTGGTCAACAGTAAACAGTAAAAAAAAAAAAAAAAGGAAAAAGTGTGGTGTTTTAAAACTTTTGACCGGTAGTGTATAAATTGCATAAAATAATATGATGAGTTGGTTGACATGATTGGCAGCTGTTTGTTTGGACACAGGTAAAAGACACCAGCCGCCGTTCACCCGACACTTGACCCCTGCGTGTTCACTTAAATGGAGGTTAAAGGTCAGAGCAGCTCAAAATGACATGTGCTCTTTTTGTTGTTGTTGTTGTTGTTTGTTTGTTTGTCTGTAAAACGAGACTCATGACAGCGCACAAATTATTGAACACTGAAAAGGTGAACTTTGTAACTTTTCATGTGAAGGGTTTGCTGTCTGCTCCTCTCCATGGAGAATTTATTGCTTTGCCTTGAATGTTCCACAGTATGGCAGCATTAAACTTGCCTATCTCCATGGAGACAGACAGATGACACTGCCAAACAAAGTCACAGGTCAGATCTGCGAAAAGGCAACCCTGCATACAATAAGAAAACTTTAATATTATTTTTTTTAAGTTGTTTTAGAGAAATAAATACATGTAAAGAAATAAATGCTACATAAATATCTTAATGCTATACTCTGGGACATTCTAGGTATAACAAAAACTTTACTCCAAACCAGAAAAATTCCAAAATGTACCTTTTCAGAAACAATTTAAAGGTGCATTGTGTAACTTTTCTGGTGGCGGGTCCGTTAAATAAATGCTTTTCTTCATGGAGATGTTATTGCTTTGCCTTGAATGTTCCACAGTATGGCGGCACTAAACTTGCCTATCTCCATGGAGACAGACAGGTGACACTGCCAAACAAAGTCACAGGTCAGATCTGCGAAAAGGCAACCCTGCATACAATAAGAAAAGTTTTATTATTATTTTTTTTTTGTTGTTTTAGAGAAATAAATACATGTAAAGAAATAAATGCTACATAAATATTTTAATGCTATACTCTGGGACATTCTAGGTATAACAAAAGCATCGCCCCACACCAAAAAAATTCCAAAATGCTAACTTTTAAGAAATAATTTGAAGATGCATTGTGTAACTTTTCTGGTGGAAGGTCTGTCAGATGCTTTTCTCCGTGGAGATGTTATTGCTTTGCCGTGAATGTTCCACAGTATGGTGGCATTAAACTTGCCCATCTCCATGGAGACAGAGAGGTGACACATATTTTTTTAAGTTGTTTTAGAGAAAGAAAAGACATACTACATAAATATCTTAATGCCAAACTCTGGGACATTCTAGGTAAAACAAAAACATCGCCCCACACCAGAAAAATTCCAAAATGTAACCTTTTAAGAAACAATTTAAAGGTGCATTGTGTAACTTTTCTGCTAGAGGGTTCGTTAAATAAATGCTTTTCTCCATGGAGATGTTATTGCTTAGCCGTGAATGTTCCACAGTATGGCGGCACTAAACTTGCCTATCTCCATGGAGACAGACAGGTGACACTGCCTAACAAAGTCACAGGTCAGATCTGTGAAAAGGCAACCCTGCTCACAATAAGAAAACTTAAAAAATATATATATTTTTAAAGTTGTTTTAAGAGAGATAAATACATGTAAAGAAATAAATGCTACATAAATATTTTAATGCTATACTGTGGGACATTCTAGGTAAAACAAAAACATCGCCCCACACCAGAAAAATTCCAAAATGTACCTTTTAAGAAACAATTTAAAGGTGCATTGTGTAACTTTTCTGCTGGAGGGTCCGTCAAATGTTTCACAGTATGGCATTAAACCTTTCTATCTCCATGGAGACCAAACCAGACCAAGTTACAGGTCAGATCTGTGGAGAGGCGACCCCGCTCACAGTCAGAATGCCTGTTTTTCAAGGTATTTTTGAGCTTTAAAACCACCTGTGACTGAATAGATGTGAGGTAGAGCCGTTTAAAGTCACACTGTGGAACATTCCAGGCATCCATAAAAAACGAAACAGGTGATCGGAAAGTTACACAGTGCAGCTTTAACTGATTAGCTGGTTTATTTGCACAACTATGATTCATTTCTTGACTCACTCCTACACATTAAGTAAACCTAAAGACCGAAATAAATGATTAACAAATTAATACAAACCGATAATTTCAACAAAAGCTATTAAAATACCGAAGGACGTACTCGGAAAACAGTGTTATCTGAAACAACTTTTTAATAGTTGAAATAAATACTCCATTACATGCATGATCCAAACACAATACTATGGGAAGTCTGGTGGATAGTGTAAAAACCTATGGCACACACGCACAGCAGCGATTACCCCAGAGAAATACACACAAAAAACATTTCAATCGTCCATTTCTCTCAGCACGACGATGGATGCACCCCACCGCACGGCGACGCAGAGGTAAGGGTCGGGTAATTTGGTGTTTTAGGACACTGTTGGTTGAAACGGGCTCCATTCACAACCAGCGTGAACCACAGAAACTCGAACCAAACCAGGAAATATCACGTGCTGTTGTATTGTACTGCAAACTACACAGAGAAGAAGAATATTTACGGTAAAAATATACGTGAAAATATCAAAACATCGTTTCGTTTAAGTTGATGATACTGTATCGATATCGTGGGCCACTGTATCGACATATCGCTGAGAGTATTTTTTTGTATATTTGACTAAATTATTTTGTGACAACTAGGGATGTAACGATATCCAAATCTCTCGGTCCGATATTATCACGATATGCATCTCACGGTACGATATTTATTGCGATATTTTGGAGATAGGACTTGTTTCTGCTTTTAAATACCTTGACATGATTTTGGTGTGAATTATTTCCATCATAATCTCAAAAATTCAAGTAAAAGTCATATTTCTTCATGTTGTTTGTGCTGAAATGAATCATGGGATACGTAGTTCCCGACGTTTATAAGCTACTGCTGCTCTAAAATAATGAATTTAAGCAAAAAAAACTTGTGATTTGACATATTGTGACAGCCCATGATATTATTGTGAGACTTTTGACATGCGATGTCAAGATATTTTGGTTATTGTTACATCCCTGGTATTTTATATTAATTTCACATTAACAAGTAGAGGTTTAACAGAGACTTTTAGTGTCACAGCCATGATTTAGTCTCCGTTTTTTACTGAATCGACTTATACTGAATTGAAAATGCACAGTATCGAGATATACATCAATACATAATGCACAATACGATACATATCTCACATTTGTAACTTCTTAACGATACCCAGCTCTAGTAAACAACAAATCAAATATTGTTTTAAAGTTAATTTGGTTTTCATGTCAATTATCCCATTAATAAGTACAATTAATGTCTAACTTTGGGTTGCCACATATGACAGACTAAAACCAGTAAATATGATTTGACCTCAGTGTTAAGTTGAGTTGTTATTATAGATGTAACGAAATCAAAATCTCTCGATATATTATCACAATGTGCATCTCACAGTACGATATTTTTGAGATTATAATTGTAAATAGGACGCTTTTTTGCTTTTAAAGTGCCTTGACAAGATTTTGGTGTGAATTATTTCCATCATAATCCCAAGAATTCAAGTAAAAAACATATTTCTTCATGTTGTTTGCGCTGAAATGAATCATGGGATATGTAGTTCCCGATGTTTATCAGCTATTGCTACTATAAAACAACACATTTAAGCAAAGGAACTTGTAATTCGATATATTGTGACAGCCCACGATATTACTGAGACTTTTGACAATACGATATCATGATATTTCGATTATTGTTATATCCCTAGTTGTTATTTCTTGAACAATAGATATTCTTGTAACCAGTGACCTAAATGACGCGGGTATAGTTTGCAGAAATACAATGACAACAATGGAATGGAAATATTACATTATTACGTGAGGTTTTGATAGGCATGGGAGGGTAAACTGGTTTTCAAAATTAATAATGGTAATATCGCAATCATGTTTGTATAAGTCTAATAAATGACTGACGTAGTTGGTGATAGGTTTTCTGTGATCCGTCATAAAAAAACAAAAGGCGTTCACAGCCTCGTGGAATGACAAGTCTAAGTATGTTTAGTGCCACACCGAGCCTGGATAAGTACACAGTGTACATGGGAATCCAGATTGAAATCTAAAAAGATAACATGGAAATCACTGGAAATTAGTCAGTAGCTGGCTGTGGATTCAAAAAAAGGAAAACTAAATGATATTTTTTGGTCCAGTATGTATCATGTTTACATTTTCTTTGCAACAGTGGAATGCCAAATCTAATCTAGCCCACTTGCCTTCAAATCTTTAATTATTTATTGTTTAATGGTTTAGTTAGTCCTGGTTTAGACTTGGTTTTACTCTGGGCTTGTCTTGGTTCAGACCCAGTTGGATTCTAGTTCAATCAATAGCGGTTCAAGGTTGGATTGGCAGTTTCGCTTTTTAATAAAATTCTAACGCGGCAGTTGTTGTTATATCATTATTACTGAAACAGATCTAGTGTCGGGGATATTTTGCGCGACCTCAAAAAAGCGAGGACACGTCGAGCACCTTTCCGGCCCAGAGCCTGAACTGAAAAATCGGTCCCTTCAGAAAACGCAGTCAAATGATCCGGGTTTGGGGCTATTGTGTGAGTGGAATAAGGCAATTAATTAAACTTTGATCGCGGTTTCAAGTTGTCTCAACGATTTCCAAACTTGTATAATCAAATTTTATTTTATTTTTAAATATAGAGGTTGTAGAACAGCTGAATATATAGTTTATTTTGGATACTTTTATGTTTTCTATGCCTTATTTCATGTTCAAAGTATATTTTATTCATTTTACGTTTGATACATCGCAAAACTGCTCTATTTGTAGTCTGAATTCAATTTAAATTTGAAAGTTTTGCGTCAATTATCAATGTGAAAGTGTTTTTTTAAGAGAGAAATGCTGAATAAATGCATCGTTTGAATAATCGTGATTTCAATATTAACCAAAACGATTGTGATAATGATTTTTTTTCCCGTAATCGAGCAGCCCTAGAGTGGCATAAAGCGGTTTCAGTATTATCGTGATGTTTTCTGTAGCGATAAATCGTATTATTGACGATCTTATACCATCCCATGCCTACTCTTTGGTACAGTTACGTGTGGCCGTGTTTAGATCTAATTCACAGAGTGGGAGTTGACCGGGGGGAGTGTGCGTGGAGAGGAGCGCTCCCTTAAAGCCTGTGTGAGCAGAGTGCACCCGTCCGACACCGCGCACGCCGAATTCCTCAGCCTCTCCCTGTAGTCGGCCATCTTGGAACTGCTGTCCGGATGCTGCGCCACGTCCCTTAGCCCTTGAGTTAGCAGCACGCATGCCGAAACTACGCTCATGGCCCCGCCCAAAACCGCCGTCTGCACCCCTTTTCCTTCAGAGGAGATGCTCGCCGGGCGACCCAGGAACTGCGGCTCCGTAGCGAATCCAACCAAAGCGTTAACAGACTGAACTAAGGCAGCGCTAAATAAAACACAACGATTTCTAGTCAGCTCGCTGGGTTGCGTTTTCACTTCCTTAACGCAAGCTAGAAACGCCGTCCCGCTCGTCGCCATGCTTCTAACGCTCAACTTGAACTGTTCTTTGGCAAAGCGGTCGCGGGACCTTTCACTGGCCAAGGATGAGATGTCAGTCAGTGTTTTGAGATTAGTCGAAATGTTTTGCGAAAGTTCGAGAAGCAACTGAGGAGTGAGGTCCAAAATCGGCGTGATTCGGAGGACGTTGCAGCTTTGCTCTACTTCGTGTCGGCAGCGCGTTACTTTATAGCGGTCCACCAAACCGGGGAGGCACGGTTGGGACCCCAAAGTTTCTAAAGCTGCCAGATACGCTGCGTGGGCAGAGCATTCAGTCAATGACACAACCAGATCGGCCAGTTCCAATAGCCGATCGCCAACTTCGGTAAAACGCCCCATGTTGAGTTGGCTTTGGATGTCATGTGTTAGTATAGAAAGCTCTTTAGTCCTCGCGATCACAGTGTCTCGGCATTGGTCAAACGTATCCGCGAGTGGAACCCCATCCGAAGCCATAACGGGCCGGGTCTCGCTGGATAACAACAAAAGATCTGCTACAAGTTGCATTTTGATTTTGCAGGAATCACAAATGGAGGAGAGCCTTTTCCTTTGCTGGACACTGCCACTGGGGGTGATGTTTGATGCCTCACTCGCGGATTTCCCAGACCCTCCACTCGCCATAATCAGGAGCAGGGTCCGGGAGGGTGCGGTCAAACTCCTCAGTTATTTATAGTCTCTGCTGCTGCATTGTTCTGTTCAAGACATGTCCAAAATAAGCACTACTTTATGTACAAAAGCTAATAGAAAGTTAAACTGGCCCAAAAGTCTGCCTTATGTTCCTTCAGATAATAATTAATGCACACACATGTTAACTTGTAAACTACATAACTGCATGTTTGAAATAAATCCCCATATTGTTACAGAACTAGTATTTTCTGACATATTAACCTTGGTTAAAACAAAAATATGCTTTAAAAAACCTATATATTTCTTGAGAAGTTACCTCACTAAATGCCCTGATCAAAAACATTCCTCTCAAAGTCTTCTACAGTCCCCAAACACATTCACAGGAATTGAAGATTATCACAAAAACTGCAGTGCCACCTAGATGCCTTCAAAGAAAAAAAAAAAAAAAAAAAAAAAAAAGCAAAGTGCAGGTTGAGATTATAAAATATTGTTATGAAATACAAATTCCCATCAGGAAAACCATATACACTAGCTGTCTAAGTCTGACATTTTAGCAACTTTAAAGACTAAACATGGGACATTTTATAATTTTGTGAACAGAGGATGTAGTTTGTAGGAGCACCGAGGTCTGGTCCGACTTGTTCCCACCGACTGTGACCGGCTTGGCGCGTTCATTCTGGGTTCAAACAGGGCACCACCCGGGCAACTCTTCGTGGCAGCGTCAACTCTTTCGTTTTCCTCAAGCACCATCATTTCAACTCCCCTCCTTTAAAATAAGATCCAGAGCAATCCGGGCCAAACTTTTAATCCACTTTCAATCGCTTCTTCTTCAGATTAAGCCCCGGGTTGCAGGTTTGCAGTGGCTCCAAGGGTCGCTCTGACGCCATATGCATCGTCAGTCTGTCCGCCCTGCGCTTTCTCCTCTCCGGCCGCCACAGCGTCTCAACCCCGGGGAGAAGAGCGTGGAGTCCCGCTTAAGCTCCATAGGGACTCGCCGCTGCTTTCCATACCGGCTGGACGCGCTCGAAACCCGCCGCTCGTCTGCCCGGGCCGAGTCGGAGGTCCGGCGGGAGACGTAGCGGTTATTCCCGGAGATTCAAAGCGGGGTCTCTCGATGAGGAAACGGGGAGGGTGTGGTCGCCTGGTCGGGCTCAGCCAAGTGAAGTTTGTAGCAGCGCTCCGAGTCGAGAGGCGCGGGTCACTAGTCCACTTTCCCCCCCCCCCGCGTGTATCCAGGCTCCGTCCGGGTCTGCCGCTGCTCTGAGCCCCGCTGTACCGGCGTGGAGACGGGGGGAGTCGGGCTGTGCGGAGGGAAGCAGCCGGTGGACTCTCCGGGAGGAACTTTGAGCTAAACTCGGTACTGCGCTGCCATGAGACTCTGCCCGGCTGCGTCAAGCGTGCGTCAAACACCCCGGAAAAAACCCTTTCACAATAAAACACGCTTTAATTCTGCGTGAAGTAAACATGGATCTATAGGCGAGTTTCATTGTTGACAAAAGCGCGCGTTGCATGCTGGGAATTATTTTGATCGGCGGCAAGAAACACTAATTCAACATGCGAGAAAGCACGTAAAGGGTATTGATCCCGGTTATTTATCCACTCTAACGGCAGAGGACCGAAGACGATTTGATCAGAAATTGGTCATAAGCATCGACAGACGCCAAATCACCCTTTTCAACCTCTACAAAAGGTGGACCAAAGCAAATTTCTGGTCAGAATCGCCAACAACCTGGCTAAATATTCACTTCAGCGATATCCACAATGACTTGGTGGAAACTCCTGGGCCATTCACAGCAGAAAAGATGAAAACCTCCAAGAGTCTCGATGCGTTGTTGAACTTGTTGGAGTCCACGGTTTGCTAGGATCTTCTACGTTTGCTCTGCGAATGTTTGAAAGCCGTTTAATTCACCGTTAGAGGTTCTTTTCACTCGGAATACGAAAAGACATTTTCCTTCTTCCGTGCTTCTATTTGTGCATCCGATAATGCAGCAATAACAATGACGTCGAGTTTCAGCTGATGTCATTGTTATTAAAAGCCCGCGTTGCATGCTGGGAAATATTTTGGTCGGAGGCAAGAAACACGATAGCGTCAAACACAGTGCGTAACCTCGCGTATTTATCCCCGATAATGGTAAATTCCTGCTGCATTATCGGATGCACAAATAGAAGCACGGAAGAAGGAAAATGTCTTTTCGTATTCCGTGTGAAAAGATTCCCTAACGGTGAATTAAATGGCTTTCAAACATTCGCAGAGCAAACGTAGAAGATCCTAGCAAACCGTGGACTCCAACAAGTTCAACAACACATCGAGACTCTTGGAGGTTTTCATCTTTTCTGCTGTGAATGGCCCAGGAGTTTCCACCAAGTCATTGTGGATATCGCAGAAGTGAATATTTGACCAGGTAGTTGGTGATTCTCACCAGAAATTTGGTTTTGTCCACCTTTTGTAGGGGTTGAAAAGGGTGATTTGGCGTCTGTCGATGCTTATGACCAATTTATGATCAAATGGTCTTGGGTCCTCTGCCGTTAGACTGGATAAATAACCGGGATCAATACCCTTTACGTGCTTTCTCGCTCCGTCCGTCATGTTGAATTAGTGTTTATTGCCACCGACCAAAATAATTCCCAGCATGCAACGCGCGCTTTTGTCAACAATGAAACTCGCCTATACTTCAGAGTGTTGGAGGTTGTGTGGAGAAATGGACGCTGATCACACACATGTGTTTTGGAGTTCAATACAAAATGCATGTTTAAATAAGAACCTGTAACTCCAGACTGTTACATAGTTTTTTGTTTTATTTTATTTATATTGTTTTTGTATGTTTTGAAATGTTACTTAAAACCATTAAAAACAAAGTTATAAAAAAACATGGATCTATACTTCCATAGAAATACATTTAGGTCAGGGGTGGGCAAACTATGGCACAGGGGCCATATGCAGCCCTTTAATCTTTTTAATTCGGCCCGCCAAACTTGAATAATAGTAATAATAACAATAATTTTGCATGTTTTAAAAGTCGTTTCAATAAATAGTAAATACAATGGGACTTGAAAGACACATTTTGTTGTGGTGCTTTGTAATGATTTTCAATGATGGGATATTTCAATAACATGGGGTCTGTTTTCTACATATCCCATGTTATTTTTTTCTCTTATGAGGTGAATTACCAGGAAAAACTCCACCAATCTGCTCCTGGTCCGGCCCTTCCGTCAACTTTTAGAATTCTTTGTCGCCCAAAAGTCAAAAAGTTTGCCCACCCAAAAGGATCATGATGTGTATGTTTTTATGCTATGATATATTTTAGACCTAAACCGAGACCAACTTTATTGATCCACAAGGGAAATTATTTGAACACAGTAGCTCACTCATCACAATATAATGCAGATATGTCAAACTTAGGCCCAGGGACCAAATTTGACCTGTGATATACTTATATTTGGCCCACAAGATCATATCAAATATGTATTAGAGTTGGCCCGCCGGCTACAAATAGGCTATGGAGACATTATTTACTTTAAAATGTGTTGTTATTTTATATTTTGTTTGTTCTGAATTCAATGTTTAAGCAAAACTATTATTAAACATTTATTTTAATAAGAAAAGGTTTAAAATGGCATATTTCAAAAGAAGAGAAAACATGCAGATCTTGTTGAACATTTTCAATAAATATTCAGTTTGGCCCACTGCTTAGTCCCAGTTTTTTATTTTGGCCCTCTGTGAATTTGAGTTTGACACTCCTGATCTATATAAAAACTCATTATACATCCATAGAAATACATTTAGGTATAGTGAAAACATTTAAAAGGATCATGATGCCTTTGTTTTTATTCTGATATATTTTAGAGTTCGACCAACTTTATTGATCCACAAGAGAAATTATTTGGACACAACAGTTCACTCGTCACAATATAATATATTATAACAACAAAGAGTAAAACATAAATGGTAATAATAAATTCTGAATAAGTAGCAAAAAAGGTAGCAAGAGACATGTGTCAAATAAGGCATAATTATATAAATGTTGCTGAGGAAAACAACCTGTTCCTCTTGTGTTCTTTAATTTTTGCTTGGACAAAAATTACACTTGAAACAGAAATAAAGTCCAGATATTTTACTTATTCCATTATTAGAAAACCATAATTGTACAAGGAGTCTGTGCCGACATTCCCATGCAGAGACTCCATGTTTACGCCTTTACAATGATTTTTATACACAAACTATGGTGGGAGGTTGACATGGTTGAGACTTAGAACCTTTTGGCACGTCGCACAGTCCAATCAGACTCCATCCGGGGTGTTATCTGGCTAACAAGTCATGACATCATCCCTATCTGTATTTCCTGTCCTATTTATTTACTTTGTTTTTAGATAGATTGGAATATCCTGCATTTGTCTTGACATATATCTATGAGTCTCACAGCTGTGATCAGAGCTCTTATCTTCAAATGACCTCGGTACAGTAATGAACTATTGAAGTGATTATACAAGACAGCAAAACCTAGTTATTTATCCTAATAATGTAAATGTACAAGTCAAAATTAAATAGAAAAATAAGTAATAAAATATAAAATCTCAGCTGTGTACAAGAGGTCATAGGATGATTTGATCGTTGACAGGACATAGGGTTATCTATTACATAAGGGTGAGTTGTTGTACAGTTGTAGGGAGTATTATATGTTACATAAGGGTGAGTTGTTGTACAGTTGTAGGGAGTATTATCTGTTACATAAAGGTGAGTTGTTGTGCAGTTGTAGGGAGTATTATCTGTTACATAAAGGTGAGTTGTTGTGCAGTTGTCGGGAGTATTGTCTGTTACATAAAGGTGAGTTGTTGTACAGTTGTAGGGAGTATTATATGTTACATAAAGGGTGAGTTGTTGTACAGTTGTAGGGAGTATTGTCTGTTACATAAAGGTGAGTTGTTGTACATCTGTATGGAGTCTGGTATGAATTTGAACTCAAATACATGTTGTTTTTATATTGTGATTTGAGAAACTGGACAGAGGCCTGAGGTCATTAGCACAATTCCATGGAAATAGGAAGTTAAAATAACTTCAAATCATGTTGATACATTTCCTACGGACATAGATAAGCCCTCCTCCAGGCTTGAGTCAGGTTTGTTCAGATGCAAGCCCACTACAGTAAGCACGTAGGTTTTTGTATCTTTTTAGTGCAATAAAAACATCCACAATGAACTAAAACTACGCTTTTATTTTAGGCTTATTTTGGAAAGTTTAATGAAGGCTCCACTCAACTAGAGAGGTTTAAAAATGTATTGGGTTTAAAAATACTATATTATTTTCATCAAAATTTTCCTATACATTCGGACTTTTGTTTTTATATGGACAACTAATGATTTGCACAGTGTTGTATTGTATTTTCTTAATTTATTTTATAGCTATTTATGTTGATATTTTTATTCTTGTGCTGTTTCCCAGTTCTGAGACAAATAAACGTTCATTTTTTGTCTGTATTTTTATTATTGTAGGACGATTCAATACATTCAAAAACCTATACACAGACTATTCCCAGTATCACAAGTCACGACACGTTGGTTAAACAAATAAATGATGTTATTACGACATTTATAAGTACAGGGCTGAAAAATAGCTCATTTCCATACCACCCATTTCCTTTTTGTTATTGTGAATTGCAGCTGCTGTACAGAGGAGCACAGAGCGGTGTTTGGGTGGAGTCGTCCTGAGAGGAAAGAGCGCTGTCCTGTCTTTGATCTGTGACCTCCTGAACTGACACACACACACACGCACACACGCACACACACACACACACACACACACACACACACACACACACACACACACACACACACACACACACACACACACACAGAGCTTTACAGCGCTGATTCATGATGATGCTGTGTGTTTTTGTCCAAGTTTATAGCACTGGTTCGTTGCAAGAAGGCAAAATTAGTTCTGTGTAACTTTGCGTGACCATTTTCAAGTGACTTTCCCATGCCTAAACATATTTGAGAATACCATTCATAATTCTAACTAATCTACTTTAAAAAATATTGTGAAGAAAAAAATATATATATATATTATTATTATTTATTTAAATTTTAATTATTTCATTTTATTATACTTTTTAATGAAATTATTATTATTATTATTATTATTATTATTATTATTATTATTACTGTGACTGCTGAAGCTTGGTATTTCTTTAGAGGTTATTTAAAATGTCCCATAATAAACTGTGTGAATGTAGTGTAAGTAATAATAATATCCAAATAATGTTATGTAGCTTTATCTGATTCCAGAAAGTCCTTGCTGTAAACTAGACCTATAACTAAACTATTTTATATATGTATTTAACCAACATTAAATAAATAGGCCTAGTGTGTCTGATTCTGTAAAGAAAACAGCCAACTTTTACAATCTACTTCATTGTTACAGACATATTTTCCAAGTAAAACGGTTCAAGAGTTTATTCAATGAAATAAAAACTGAAAAATACAACTTTTATTTTATTTTGAAATATCCTGTTTCTGTTTTACTCCCTTTAACCCCGCCCCCTTCCCCGTCTTGTGACCGGCACATGTCTCAGCCAATCAGAACGCTCCATCTGGAAGCATGGCGGTGGACTTCAGGTTGAGGTGTTTTGCGCTTCTCCTCTGCACCGTTTTTGTCTTTGTTTGCGCGGCTGAAAATCAAGACAAACCCAAGAAAAAGAAAGACATTAGAGACTACAATGACGCGGACATGGCTCGGCTTTTGGAGCAGTGGGAGGTACGTGAACGGAGGAGTTTTCATTGAGAAGTGAAGAAGGGGGAAACTAGCTGCTCTCTTAGCCTCCCAAGAATGATGTGTAGGAGATGGAATTAAAGACCAATTAATCATAACCAAATGTTTGTTTAAGATGTCAGCGTGAACCGCAAATTAACACACGTCTGTTGTTTAGTTATTTTATGGTTTTAATAATGTGTAGTTGGAGATTAGTCATCAGATTGCAATGTCTTCTGAATTTCCTTCTTGTTGGTGACTGTGCTTTTCTTTTGTAAACAGAAGTTGTCATTTCAATTTCCCTAAAAGGCTTATTTACTTTCTAAATAAACAGGACACATGATTTAAAATAGCTAGTAAGCAGTGTTGGGGAGTAACAGATTACATGTACCAGAGTTACATAATCAGAGTACAAATTATGAGTAACTGTATTCAGTTACAGTTACTGTTTCAGTGAGTGGTAATTGGATTACAGTTACTTGGTTGAAATAAATGGATTACACAGAGGTATTTTCCTGTTTTCACATTTTGGGCTATATCCCTTTTTCTTTTTTTGGTAATTCCACTCATTGCCGGACACTAAATCAGGTCTAAACCAGGAATAAACCAGGAATAAACCAGGACTAAAACCAGGACTAAACCAGGACTAAACCAGGACTAAACCAGGACTAAACCAGGTCTCAAACAGGATTTAACAGGACTAAATCATGCTGTGTGGACCGTGTCTCCTCGTCTTCCATCAATAATATTTTTTATTTGGTTCAGTAAAGTCTGGGCTTTTTATTTTCTTTTATCAGACAAAACATCTTATGTTACGATATCCTCGTCTTTGCTTCTTTACAACAAATCAAGTAATTCAAAGTATTCAGATTACGTTATTCACTTTAAGTAATTTAATGGATTATGTTACAAATTACATTTTGCGGTATGTATTCTGTAATCTGTAGGGGAATACATTTTAAAAGTCACCTTCACAACACTGCTAGTAAGCATTTAGTTTTAATGTCATGCAAAACCTGTAGATTTTGTTGTCACTGAGTTGCTATAATAACAAATCTAATTTATTTATTTAGGAGTGACAAATATAATTCTAGATAGGACACGTTTTGCTTTTAAAATATCCATGACAAGATTTTGGTGTCAATTTTTACTCTCAAAATCCCAAGAATTCAAGTAAAAAACATATTTCTCCATGTTGTCTGTTCTGAAATGAATCATAGGACATGTAGTTCCCGATGTTTATTAGCTGTTTCTACTAAAGAACAATGCGGTTAAGGAAAGGAACTTATAAATTTGATATAATGTGATAGCTCTTGATATTATTGTGAGATTTCTGATGTTATGATATCACAATATTTTGGTTATTGTTACAGCCCTACTAATGAAGCATTAATTTAGATCTGAAGTTTTGGTTTGTTGCATACAATGTTGTGTAGTGTGTATTTTTTATTTTTTTTATATCGTGAACAAATATGTATCACTACTCATCATATCCATATTTGCCAAGATGCTTTAGTGTTTTATTTCACGTGTGTCCTTAAAGTCAAAGTCTAAACTTCAAAATCTTGTAAAAAACAGCAATAAAGATTGTGGGAGGGGCGAAGGAAACCATGTGACACTTTACCTTTGACATATGTTTTCGTGTTTCCAATTTATAGAGGAAATGGAGGTGGCCAAGTTTAATTTTAAGTTCTCCTTTTCTAAATATAAGATGAACAAAACTGGTATGACAAATGCATTCTTTCTGCTTCTTGTATTATCATCAGCATAAAAAGTAAGTGTACAATTCAATAAAAGACTAACTATAGCCAATAAGTAACATCAAACAAATCTCAGTCACTGTGTGAACATGATTAAGAGGGACTGACAAATATGGGGAATTATAATGACTCTTGGGCTGTTACTGATATTAAACTAGATGCTCATTTGACCTGTAGGGATGTAACAATAACCGAAATATCGTGATATTGTATTCTCAAAGTTCTCACAATAATATCATGGACCATCACAATATATTGAATTACAAGTCTTTTTGCTTAAATGAAGAGTTATGGTGCAGGAATAGCTAAAAAAAAAAGACAAAGGGATCTACAAAGACCATGATCCTTTGCTCCATTTCAGTGCAGACTACATGAAGAAATAACAGTTCTAAGCACTTTTAAGTCTTAGTTCTTTGGATTAAGTCTTGTCAAGGCATTTTAAGAGGAAAAAGTAGCATATTAACAGTTTTGTTTGAAAGCCTCAACAACATATTGCAATAAATATCGTACCGTGAGGGTCATACCGTGACGATATCGTATGGTGAGACTTGGATATCATTACACCCTATTGACCAGGTATCAATACTAAAAGATGTCACATTTCCGGACAGAAATGATCCTTTTCTGAACAGCTAGAATGTAGGGATGTAACGATATAAACATATTTTCACAATATGCACCTCACGGTTCGGTATAGATTGCGGCATTTTGTAGAGGTTTACAAAATTATGAATATGCTACTTTTTCCTTTTAAAAACCTCAGAAAAGCATTGAAAAGCCATTGGTGCTGTTATAATATGAAGAATTAAGATTTTAAAGTGCTTAATAACAGTTGTTTCTTCATGTAGTCTGCACTGACAACAGCAAAGCATCATGGTCTATGTAGTTCCCTCTGTTTTAACTACTACTGCACCACGGCAATGCAAAACACAAAATAATTCAAAGTGCTTTACAGAATAAGAAATCCATTAAAATCACAAGGAAAGACATAAAAATCAGCATAACTATTCATTTAAGCAAAGAGACTTGCAATTCGATATATTGTGACAGCCCACGATATTATTGTGAAACTTTTGACGATACAATATCACGATATTTCGGATATTGTTCCATCCCTACTAGACTAGAATGATTTTGAGCTGTATCAGAACAAGTATAAGAGCACATAGACTAATATACACTCATGGACCACTATGGAACCTGCCTGAATCACTGAGGGATTACACAGATATAAGACCACATGGTAATATAATAAAAGAAAGGACTATGATTCAGTGTTGAAAATCACATTCTCTTGTCTATAGTGTTTTTTTAATTATCATTGTGGTATCAGAGTCTGTATTGAGTATCAAGTCTATTCCTTAGTATTGAAATTTTACTACTGTGACAACACCAATGCACACTAGTGAATCTTGTATTGTTTATTTCTTTAGGAGGATGACGACATTGAGGACGGCGACCTGCCCGAGCACAAGCGCTCTCCTCCGCCCATCGACTTCTCCAAAGTGGATCCCTCTAAACCCGAGGAGCTGCTGAAGTTGTCCAAAAAGGGGCGCACTCTGATGGTCTTCGCCACAGTGTCCGGAAACCCCACGGAGAAGGAGACCGAGGAGATCACCGGGCTGTGGCAGGGCAGCCTCTTCAACGCCAACTACGATATACAGAGGTCAGAGTCCAAACTAGATATTCATTTGAGCAGATATTAGTACTTGGAAAAAAAAAGGAAAACACAGATGGTATAAATTTTGGCTGAACTATTTTTGTATGGCCTTGATCTGACCACACTGTAATACAGGGCTATGGGGATTTAGCCTGATTCATCAGCCGGTTTCCACAAAGTGAAACCGGCTCACAGCATTAGGATTCGTTCGCTCGACGGTAGGCGGGTACTCTTTTTATTTAACCAATCGCCGCTATTTAGTTGTGATGTATGTACTGCACTGCTTACTAGTATTTTAAGCGTTTTCCAAATCCCGTAGGAAGAAGTGCAATAACGTCTTTCCCCTTGTTAAAATTCACCAAACATTCTCTTTGTTCCGGCTTTAAATCCTCGATCTCGGGAATCGTTGCCAACACAGAATGTATGGCTTCGTCTACATCCATCTCAACCGCTTTATTTACTGTTGTGCTGTACCACAAAAAGGGACCCAGTCATGGCTTCACAGCTCTTCGCTGATTGGCCGGTGCACGGTCTACAACTTCCGAGGTTCTTGCAAACCGTCAAGTGTATTCAGATTCCTGATCTAGTCGCTGGAGAGAAATGAAATTGAGCAGAGGCACTAGGTGGTGCCAGCCTGGCTAATGGGGATTATGGTGAAAATAATAATCACAATATTGAAATCATGATTATTTCAAACAATAACTCTGATATCGTGAACAATTTTACTGTAGTTTAGTATGGATCAAGTCTTCTGTGATGGCAATCAAATAATAAAAAAAAAAATCAACTGTCTTTTAAAGGTCCTGTATGGCACAAAATGGATTCTTGTGAGCCGCAAGTCATGTTATAATGTTGTTATGTCACCAAAAACATACCTGGAGTTGTTTTGTTTCATTCACACCTTTGAGTTATCCTGGATCATTAGTCTGTCCACATTTCAAAAGCTCAAAATGTTCTGTTCCATCTTGTGCTGTTATGTAATGTAGTTTTCAAGTTAACAGATACTTTTAGTTCAGCAGAGATGAGCAATTCCAGGGCTGAACTCATCCAAATGATTCTTGTGAAGGTGTATAGAGTTTAAAAACACAGTGGAGCACTTATTTTATTTATTATGACTTCACAAGGTGGAACAGAGTGTTTTCAGTTTGACAAAAGTTGAACATGAGCATGTGTGAATGAAACAAAACAAAACTCCAGGTTATGTTTTTGATGAGGAAACAGATTGCGTAATATAGACCCTGTAAGACAAATTTGTGACACATTTTGGTTTTATGGTGTGACTTTTGTTTTTTCTCTTGTGAAAAGAACTGAACTTGTATCTTGATATTCTGTTGCAGGTTTGTGGTGGGCTCCAATCGCGTCATCTTCATGTTGCGTGACGGCAGCATGGCCTGGGAGGTCAAGGACTTCCTGGTGTCTCAGGACAGATGTGCGGAGGTCACCGTGGAGGGGCAGATTTACCCCGGAAAAGCTGCCAAAAAAGACGAGTCAAAAACCAAACAGCAGAACGAAGTCAGTCCCAAAAAGAAAAACAAGAAGAAGAGCGAGAAGAAACCAGATTTAAACGGGAACACAGCCAGTAAACAAAAAGTGGAGCTGTGATGAGTTTGTAATGGACAAGTTTACAGTGACATTTAAAACACAGTAGGTTTCATTTATGTGAACTTATAATATTCTGTGAGATCAAAGGTCAAATTTACCTTCAGGTTCAAACTGTTCATGTTTGCCTTTTTTACCTACTGACAAAAATGTCTCAGTAAAATTATGTCACTTTCTTCTTACGGGCAGCATTGGGAAAATGGAGCACTGAACTAGTTGCCTAAGTATTATAATTACACACAAATACTTAATTTTGTTGATTTGTTATTATCTATTCCTGTGCCAGATCATTTTGTCTTAAGATATGATATACATTAAACTTTAATATGGTTTCAAATTACACTTTTTCTGAGCCCAAAATTAGCACTGTAACCTTTTACCTTTAAAGAATGGTACTAAAATATTTCACATTTCAATAGACTTGCTCATTTCTCAGAGTCAAGCACACTTACATGGGTCTGTCATGTTTTGAAAATAAACTTTTTATATAATTTAGATCTTTGGTTGCTTTCTTTTATTCCTAAATTTGGATGGTGTGATTATTTCCCTCAAAATCATGTCTATATTTCTCTGACAAATTGCCAAGGCACCTCCCAGTTTTGTTGGAGTTAGGGTTCATTAAAAAGGTCATTTTTACAACTCGAGGTCATTATTTACAATATTTACAATTAGCAGAATGCTTAATATTTGAATTCAAAATGTTTCTGGGAAAAATGAATGAAAAATGTTCTTACGGAGCCGATTTCGAAATGGGCTGGACTATTTAGCTGTAATTAGACACTTTTTCAAAGAAATATGTCGCCCCCTGCTGGATGCAATCTATACCACGTGCACCAAAGTGACACACACAGTTTTACCCCAGCGCGAGGAGGGGCGCGATGTGCCCCAATGACCTGGTCCAACATTACGTCATACTCTGTAATGACCCTGTATGTAGTTTTGTACTTGCAAATACTTCCACTAGATGGCGCCACAGTAACACTCCAGTCTAAAAGAACAGCAACACATGCAGCCTGAATTTATTCTAAACTTCAATAAAGAACTAAGCAAATACTCATTGGTTAGACTCTTGTTTAAAAATATTATGTATTTATTTTTTTTTTTTATAGTATTTTTCAGTGAGTTTGTGAGTCAGTGATGTCCAAAAGTTACGATAATATTTCCCAAAATAGGTTTAAATTTCCTAGGGAGATGAAAATTGCAAAGTGGTTAGCTCTTTGATTTAAGTCTTAAAAAAATAAAATAATAAATAAATAAATAATAAATAATAATAATAATAATGTTACTATATTATTATTATTATTATTATTATTATTATTATTATTATTATTATTATTATTATTATTATTATTATTATTATTAATATAACACAATAATAATAATAATATTATATTATTATATTATTATTATTATTATTATATTATTATTATTATTTATATATTATAATAATAATAATAATACAGTAACATTATTTTATTTTATTTTATAACATTATTATTATTATTACTCAGCCTTAATATGCAGGGTTAAACATGTGAATGAAGCAAAACACAACTTAATTTATGTTTGTGATGAGGAAACATAATAACATAGGCCAGAAAATATTGTAATATGGGCCTTCTAACATTGTAAACTATTACAGAGAGTGCTTCTTATTAATTTCTTGCAGGGAGATGCAAAGCTGCAGTCTCAGTTCAAACAGACTACATTTACCCTGAACATGAAAAAGACCGAGACGAATCAGGACAGTGAACTCATCGTGAACTCATTTCTCCTTTGCTCCCTGAAGTAACGCAGAGAGAGAGGGAGATGTTTGAACAAGCTGATGTCGGTGGGTTCACAAGACAACATCAGGTATGGTGTGTTCAAATACTTGTTTATCAATGGGCAGCTTCAAAATACAAACGTTTAGAAGTGAAGAGCGGATAGAAATTCCTCTGCTTTCTTTATCTATGTCCGCTTTGACCTGCTGTGTCCCGTGATTTATTTTTTTTCCTCTCCCCAAAGTCCTGCTGTTGATAATTATTTATTTCAGTATTTTGGTGAATTACTACTACTTTGATGAACTTATATCTGAGAAGAGATGCGAAGTATTTGTATCTGCTTTGAACCCATGTGCATCAGAGCAGATCACAGTCTAGCAGACCGAGTTTAGATTAATGTTTTCTTTATGATTTTTGACTGTTCATAGTTGAAAGATTGGATTTTGATTGAAGTAAGTTGTTATTTTTGACTGGTTGTTGGCCTGAGGAGAAAAAAAAAAAAAACACATTTAAAAGAAGTTCAAAAGCTACAGATAGGCTATAGAGACATTATTTATTTAAAATTGTGTTATTATTTTATATTATGCTTGTTCTGGATTCAATGTTTAAGCAAAACTATTATTAAACATTTATTTTAATAAGAAAAATTTTACATTACATATCTCGAAAGAAGAGAAAACATGCAGATATTGTTGAAATTTTCACTAAATATTTAGTTTGGCCCACGACTTAGTCCCAGTTTTTAATTTTGGCCTCTGTGAATTTAAGTTTGACACCCCTGATTTAGACTATATGCAAAGCCAGCACTCTTAAAATTTATTTTTCTTAAATGAATATTTAAACTGGCAGGAAAATTAGTTTTTTGTGCATAAATGTTCCTGTATTTTAGATAGAATTTTGAGTATTAATAACATTGATGGAGAGATTTATTTTGAGAAATAAGAGCGTTAATTCATGTATTTTTGAATGTTTTTTTCTCAAAGTATGTTCAGATTCAGATTCAGAAAACTTTATTGATTCCATAAGGCAATTCATTAGCAGCATCTCAGAGCAAACACAAACACAAACAAACACAAAGTGAGTCAGTCCATTGCCGTCCACCAGTGGAACTCAAAATAAAGTTCAAATTACAGTGTAAAACTTTCATAAAACTGTACCCTTAGAATTTAACAATTTAATAGCAGAGGGCACAAAAGAATTAGAAAACCGGTTGGTTTTCCGTATCGGAGCATAAAACCGACGCCCTGAAGGCATCAGGATAAAATCAGGAGCCAGAGGATGAAGGGGCTGATCCAGGAGACACTTGGCTTTGCTCAGGACCTGCTCCTCCCACAGAGAGAGCAGGTCCCTCAGTTTGATCCCTGTGATTTTCGAGCAGGTTTTAACAATATTTTGAAGTTTGTTTTTATCCTTCACAGACAAGGATTCAAACCAGCAAATAAAAGAAAAAGTAAGAAGACGTCAATAAAAGAACAATAAAAATGGTTAAGAATCATTTTGTTCACATTAAAAGAGTTCAGTTTCCTCAATAAATATATTCTTTGCTGCCCTCGTTTGACGATGTTTTCAGTGTTTAGGTCAAATTTCAGTTTATTGTCCATCACGGTGCCCAGATATTTGGAGCTAATGTTACATATTTACTATATGGCTCTGAAACCCACCAGTGGATAAAGATAAACTAATATATACAGCATGTATGTCCAAATGTAAATAATGTCCAGAGGTGGGTAGAGTGGCCCAAAGAATACCTGCTCGAGCGTCCTCCTGGCTTGAAAGTCCGAGCCTGAGCCTGAGTGTCCCTTTCTCTCGGCGAGAACGTCTCTCTCTTCCCTCCAGGAGCCTCCTTCTCCTGGGCAGCAGTATGTGATGTACTGAGTTAGAAAATCAGCATTCTATATCATAATAAAGTGAAATGTGAATGTAACGAGACTAAACATCGGGCCTTGTTTATGTCATTTTACTGATCTTCCTGAAGCGGCACGCATTTTTTCAGTATATAAATCAATATAATCCTCATTTGCTCGCAGAAGTTTACTATGAAGTCATATCTTAAATCATTTTTTCTTGTTCCCTGTGTCCTATAGCATCTGTGACTGTTGTTTTGGGAAGAAATTTTAATTATTCCTTTACCTGCTGCCATGACTATAATTTGTATGCAGAGCAACACAAGAAACTTAGAAAGCTACAGAATGTGTCCAAAAATCATTCAGAATCACTTTTAGGAAGGTCTTAGTAGTTAGTAGTTAATTGTGGCACATTTATTGAGAACATAGGAGTTTCTAAGGCCGTGTGGTTCACTTGTGGACTGTTCCTGAGGAGTAATTTGACACACTGTATTTCCTTTATTTGTGTGTTTGAGACCACATAATTTTTGCATATTTTGTTTATATGTATGAAAAAATGTGTTGAGATATATTGTAACTTGTTTAATTAATACAATATATATAGAATGATTTATTTATTTATTTAATATGTATATTAACAAACTTTCATAAATTCAGTAGGACTTTCCATCTTGGGGACCTTCCAGCCAGGGGGACTTTCCAGCTGATTCCCAACCCAGATCTGTACTCAGGTAAGAGTAATGTTACTTCAAAATAATATTACTGAAGAAGTGCAAAGTAGTGGCCCAACAAATGGAGTGAACTGACTTAAAAAGTAACTGCTGGGATGTAATATTTGATTCATAATTTGATGTTAATGTAATTTGAAAGACAAAATATAAATTATTAAATCTGAAGGAGCACCGAAAGAAGCACAAATGTTTTAATTATTTCATATTGTCAGTATGAAGCTTTTGTCACTTGTAGATTTACTCACAGAGAAGAGTAACAGATTACATGTACCAGAGTTACGTAATCAGAGTACAAATTATGAGTAACTGTATTCAGTTACAGTTACTGTTTCAGTGAGTGGTAATTGGATTACAGTTACTTTGTCAAAATAAATGGATTACACAGAGGTATTTTCCTGTTTTCACATTTTGGACTAAATCCCTTTTTTCTTTTTCGTTTTTTCGGTAATTCCACTCATTTCTGGGTCACTAAACCAGGTCTAAAACCAGGTCTAAAACCAGTTCTAAACCAGGTCTAAAACCAGGTCTAAACCAGGTCTAAACCAGGTCTAAAACCAGGTCTAAACCAGGTCTAAAACCAGGTCTAAACCAGGTCTAAAACCAGTTCTAAACAAGGTCTAAACCAGTTCTAAACCAGGTCTAAAACCAGTTCTAAACCAGGTCTAAAACCAGGTCTAAACCAGGTCTAAAACCAGGTCTAAACCAGATCTAAAACCAGTTCTAAACCAGGTCTAAAACCAGTTCTAAACCAGGTCTAAAACCAGGTCTAAACCATGTCTAAAACCAGTTCTAAACCAGGTCTAAACCAGATCTAAAACCAGTTCTAAACCAGTTCTAAACCAGGTCTAAACCAGGTCTAAACCATGTCTCAAACAGGATTTAACAAGACTAAATTTCTTCTATCAATAATATTTTTAATTTGGTTCAGTAAAGTCTGGGCCTTTTATTTTATTTATATTTTCTTTTCTTTTATCAGACAAAACATCTTATGTTACAATATCCTAGTCTCTCTACAGCAAATCAAGTACTCCAAAGTATTCAGATTACGTTACTCACTTTAAGTAATTTAGTGGATTACGTTACAAACTACATTTTGGTGTATGTAATCTGTAATCTTTTAAAAGTCACCTTCCCAACACTGACCACAAGTACTGCTA